ATGCTATCAGAGCAAATATAAAGGAAGAGATTTTTGAAAACCGGCGGTGTGACTATAATAGATCGTCCTATAGAGTCGTTTAGATTTATCACAGATTTCTTAGCTTCAGGCAGAGACCAATGAGACGCATATACTATTAATACACATATACTCGATCACTTGAACTTGAACTTTTGATCAATAATCCACCACAGAAAAACCGTTTTCTTTTAAAAATCCAATTTTCTTTTCTACTTTGTTTTCTTGTTCACAGTACTGTGATCAAGAAAACAAAGTAGAAAAGAAAAGAAAACTCCTTTATTTCGCAGCTCTGTTGTTTGAGTGGAAAAAGGTATCGGACGAGAGTGTTCAGAACAGTGAAACTAAGAAATCTGTGATAAATCTAAACGACTCTATAGGACGATCTATTATAGTCACACCGCCGGTTTTCAAAAATCTCTTCCTTTATATTTGCTCTGATAGCATAAAGTAGAGAATTAGAAGGCGCATAAATTTATACCTGGATATTTTTGGAATTTGATGTTGTATGCTTGTTGAGAAAAATAGGGTACCTATGTGATACCTATGCAATAAAAACTTTTTTCTCAATAATCTTCGTACTTTTTGAAAAGCGGTTTTCATCGTGAATTAAAGGAGATCATTATGCATCTGTAGATGTACTTGCGGTATAGTATAAGTCTAAGAAGAAAGTAAACGATTCAAAAAATTAAAACAAAAATCAGTTTTTCGAAATCAAAATTTGACTTCAGTTAAATTACAAGGTTATAAACAAAAAATAAAGGTTTCTAGAAAATGATGTTCTTCCAAATATTGCTGAAGAATAAAAATTGAGAAGAATTTTGGGAAATTTTGTTCATTCAAAACCTCTTATATCATGCATAGTTGGATGTGGTTTAACGATACTCCTGTTTTTTTGAGAATATTATGAAATTTTAAGTATTCTTTCGAAGGCTAAAAACACTTCAACTTAGTGTTATAAATTTTTCTCTCCTTTTCAGTACCTTAAAATTTTCTTCTCATGCCTAGTCTGATGGAGTAAAGTGTTCTGTTCACATGGATATGTCTCTAAAAAGTTTTCTCTAGTTTTTGGTAGAGATATAAGCACCGCTACAAATGCCCCGAGAAATGTACCATATACAATATCGCTTGTAGTACTCAAATGACACTTAAGTACGAGCATTTACAATCCAGTAACATTAAGATCCCTCCAAAAAACAGTCTGAAATAGCTCAAAGTTTTTCCACAGATACTTCAGAAACTGTCTCAAATTGTGAAATCTTAAGCGTTTTCGATTTCAACTTTCGATGTCGGAAAATGCCATCTAAAAAATCGATCTTCTGTTTTAAAGCTAAAATAAAAAACTTTGATTTAGATTTTCAGTATTTCCTTGAATAATATTGAATATTTCTATTCTACGCTTATAGTGTTTCTCCGGAAAACCGTATTAGCATAAAAAAATGTGTTTCTCCTTCTCGAGTTTAAGTTGATTTCTTCATCAGTGAGTAGCTCAAACAGTAATGGTTCGTTAGATATTGTTTTCACTGCTCAAATTTATTGAAGTTTTCCAAAAAATAAATTTTCATTGTTCATATCTATTTTTTGGAAAACTTTCTGGTATGACGTTTTCCAATCTGGCTCAAGAGATAAAAAAACTGGTACTGTAGAGAAAGATGGCCAAGATATTCAACTTAGTAATTCCCTAATAAAAACTCAAAATTAATAATTCGACAGTTTGGTTAAATGTCAAGGGATGCTTATTGTGGATGTAACTTTTAGTCGCTAAGGAGTCTAAATTAAAATTTGCTTCCATCCTCCCATCTCTCCATTTTGTTTCTACGATACTTTAGGAAAAACACAACGTTTATATACAGAGATGTTAACACAACTTGTACAATTACGCCCAACATTTTCTCCACTACATGTGATAATTGATTACGAGCGGACAGCTATAAATGCCTTTGAGAAAAAATTTCCTGGTGCAAAAATATTAGCGGTTGTTTCTTTCATCTTTGCCAAAATGTATTTCGTTGTGTTCAACGGTCTGGATTAACGCAATTGTATGGCGATGATCCAGATTTTTCTCAACAAATACGTGCATTACCTGCCTTATCATTTTTACCTGCTGCTGATGTCATTCCAACATTTGAAGAATTAAAACATCAATTTCCAGGGCAAGGGCAACCAGTCATTGATTATTTTGAGCACACATATATTGGTATGAAAGATCGTTTATCACGTCCACGCAAAACACCTAAATTTGCTTTAGAATTGCGGAATACAAATAAAAATACATTGAATGGTCATCATCGTACTAATAATGTTGTAGAGGGATGGAACAATCGTTTATCATCAATGTTGAATTGTTCGCATCCAAATTTATGGAAATTTATTAAATATTTAAAAATTGAACAAAGTTATATCGATGAAATAATAGCACAAGCAGAAGCCGGCGAAAGACAACCAATTAAAAAATCACAATTTCGACGAGAAAAACGTTTAATTAATATATTAAATAAACGAACCACGACAAATTTAGATAAAATATTGACCATCGCACACAATATCACATTAAAGTCAGCATAATAATGTAATTGATTATCCATTTGCAGGTGTACTATGTGAAATGGAAGTTGCACTTTTGTTGCAACGTACAAAACTTTATTTTCAACTATAGTTTAAGTCTACTTTGAATGATTTGTACATTTTTTAATTTGAGTAAAATACTATTGTGTTTTTGAATTGATGCTAGATTTTTATATATGTATATGTTGCTATTTTCTACTATCTATTTTCATTTTCATGTGTAGATATATGTTAATGATTGTTATATCATATTAGTAAAAGTAATTGGTAGTATGGAAAGTCATTATTTAGTGTATAGCAAGAGCAGAGCTATCCTAGGAAGTGTCCGCTAGTGAGAAGTCTCCTCTGCAGAGGAGCAACCTGGAGTAAGATCTGTCCCGGTAAGAAGTGTCCTAGAATAAGAAGTGTCCTGGTAAGAAGTTTTCTAGAGTAAGATCTGTCCGGATAATAAATGTCCGGACGAGAAGTTTCTGGGTAAGAACCGTCTGGGGAAGATCGGACCGAATACCGTTATTTTTATGCTACCTTGAAATGTATGAAAAAGAAAAATACTGGCAAAAGTGTGGAAAAAAACGCTCTCTTAAAGCTAAACTGTTTTATATTCTACTAAGTAAACAGACAAATGTTGATCGGTATTCATTATACAGTATCATTGTTTGTGTTTTTACCGAGAAAACCAAAAAGCACACACAGTACCATGAAAATAAATGTAAAAATTCTGAACACAGAAGCGAACGGAAAGAAATGTCTTACTTTCTATTTATTCACCATGAATCAATAGGTACAACAAGGCAAAAACTTACATTACTCGAAAAATTCATTTAGATCGATTTTTTCTTTTGAAAAAAACCTATTTAAATTAATCTTTTTAGAATTCTTTTAGGAAAATCTGTTTAAATTAATTTTAAAAAAAATTCATTTAAATTCATTCTGCGTAAGGTTTCGTGGGAAAAATCTATTTAAATTTATTTATTTCTCAATGGGTCTGATTTTGATTCCTGTAAAAGGTTAATTTGAATTTCTTTTTTCTCCAAATCAAAGATAAAATGCACTTAAATAGATCTTCTCAAAAACTAAAAGTAGATGTATTGAGATAGAAATAAATTTAAATCGATTTTTCACACAAAAAGTTACGCAGAATGAATTTAAATAGGTTTTTTTCAAAAGAAAAAATCGATCTAAATGAATTTTTCGAGTAAAAACAATAATAATAAATCAATTTTTAAAGTTTAACATTTTTAATATAAAAAAAATCGATTTAAATTGATTTTTCTATGAAAAAGAATAATAAATTGCACAAAACAAATGGCATATTTCTTCAAAAAGTGCCGCAATGGGTTTGTAATCGAAGTATGATGAAAATTCCAAAGGCTAAAAGCTCCGCATTTTCCCATCTATTGTACGAGAACGTTCTAATATTGCGAGCTTGTCAACCTATTGAAAACCAAAATACTTTCCACTGATTTTGAAATTTGTATTAAATTTCAAGGTAATGTACAGATAAAACAGAGTTTATATTGATGTTCTGAAGTAGTGTGTGTTGACTTAATTATGCATTTTTAATTTTTTCGTGAAAATTATCTTAACGAAGTCTTTTTTTACTTTTTTTTGCCCCTAATCATACAGAAAGATTGTTCACTTATGTTCACGCACGAACATTTTTCACCCGCTTAATTTTTTAATTAATTGCATGACTCCAATGCCGTGATATTTTCTCTCTTCATCTTTAGAATTTAGTGAAATTCTCGTTAGTTTCCCACAAACTTGTGCCTGTGAAGTTTCGACAAAATTACCCCATAGCTGATGTCACAACGCTCATCGTTTTTCGTTCTAGAAGGACTCTTCACTAGAAAGTTTAAGTATTTTTTTCTAAGTTCTAAGATAAAACAGCAACCAGCACGAGTGAGTTGTTTAGTGTCCTCATAATTCAGTGTGAACATCCTTTTCGTTTGAAACAGAAAACTTCTAAGACAACTTTTAATTGATGCTTTTAAAACCTTCTTCTACTCCAAAAAAATAGACTGTGGTTACGATAAGAAAAATTGTCGTATCGTGCACTCAGTTCTTATTTTTTGTAACAATAGCTTATCATGTTTGTACCATATCCTTTTCTAGGTTAATTAAGGTCATTTTTTTTAAGGACAAATAACAATTATCAAGGGTTTAAAACGTTTTTATGTCTCATCTTTTCATCAAGAAAAAGAAGGTAACTTGACCTTGTACGTTATTTATAATACAATTTGTTGTTGTGACTAAACTAAAATTGATCTGTCAATAGAAACCACTTTAGCTTTGTCCTTGGAAATTAATATGCGTCGTTTCCGTGTTGAACCATGTCTAGTCTTCCATATTATATTATCGTTGAATTTTTTTATTGATATTTATTCAGAATTGTAGGCTATATTCTATGCATGAGAGAAAACCCGGATGTAAAAAACAGTTGCCATGTCATCTTTCATACGAAGTAATGGTACCTGAAGGCCCTCAAATGCTTTTTTTACTATAGCATTTTTTTTTCTTCTTCAACGTAGCGTTAATGTTGCTTCCGTTCTCTCTTTTTTCGGTCGAACTTAGACATATTTCAAAGAAAAGTGTGTGTTGACATAACTGCATGACGTCTGTTACGATATTTAATGTCGAATATAAATTCTTTTTATTTATCATCATGTGTTTGATAAACTTGTATAAGAAGATTATAAAGTAAAAGCATGTGTTTTATATGGATACAATCTAAAACTTTTTGTTATTTTAGAACTATTTGCATTATTTTGTTGTTAGGACAGAGAAAAAGGAACCTATTGACGATCATATGGCCATTATTTTTTTCTTTTTCTTTGGCTTCATCAAATGGCATTGAGCATGTACTTGCATTGACGAATGAAACTTTTTAATAACGTTAAGGTGTTTTTGTTTATTAATTATGAAAAAGGTGAAGCAACACCCGTCTTGCGGCTACCGTTGTCGGCGTATTGTGGTGCCAGATCAGCCTTGTTAATTTCGAGCAACTCGATACCTTCTTCCCAGCTAAAAATCTTTTAAAATGGCCACATATCGCAACTGTAGACAACAATCTTTCCGACAATATAGCTTTCCGACTTCTTTAAAGTAACGCGACAAACACCATGAGACTATCATGTGAAACTGTTCTAAAAAAAGCAGAAAGTGTTGTTACTTTTATTATCTGTACTCCTCAACAGTTTTATATACTTTTGTTTTTTTCCCATTCTAAGCTTAAACACAGCTGTAAGTTTTTGCTTTGTTGTACTGTGTGTGCTTTTTGGTTTTCTCGGTAAAAACACAAACAATGGTACTGTATAATGAATACCGATCAACATTTGTCTGTTTACTTAGTAGAATATAAAACAGTTTAGTTTTAACAGAGCGTTTTTTTCCACACTTTTGCCAGTATTTTTCTTTTTCATACATTTCAAGGTAGCATAAAAATAACGGGTAAAGAACGGACCAGAGTCATTTCCGTTGTTCGGACAGTTTTCTGTTTTTCCGCCCCAAGTCTGGAAATAGGAGCCGAACATTTGGGGTGTGTAAACCAAAATTTCTCTGCGGTGGTGTGAAATTCATAAAAAAAAATTTGTGCGAGAAGTAATGGATAAAATAACAACAGCTTTTTCAATTATTAGGGGCATGCGCATCCTTCCACACCCTCCCGTTATTTGCGCCTCTGTTCTGCCCTACAAGACTGTCAAGTTGGATTGTCAAACAAAGAATAGTCATATTTACAGCATTAACACATACTCACGTTCATATTGGGACAATTCGAAAAGTAAAACGCTCTCAGTTTTATTTTTATTTATATTCTGCTTTTTGTGGTGCTTACAGCGTAATTTTGGAGCCAAGAAAGTCTCGTGTAGGAATTCTCACGTAAAACAGACCTCTAACGAGGAAACCTTTCGAGATGTCCCCTTTCGATTCTAATGATTTGTACATGGATTGATAGACCTCAGTGAGATAGTAAATACTGTAAAGGATTCGTGCTCAGGATGGTTTTCTGGAAACCAGGTCTTCAAGAGTCATGGGCACAATCCTTTTAGGGTATTTACTACTTCACTAAAGTCCATCGATCCATGTACAAATCATTGGAATCGGAAGTGGACATCTCGAAAGGTACCCTCGTAAGCGAGAAAAATTGAGTTTTCTGTTCCGGTTTCTGACCTTGTGCATTTTTCAACGAATATCCCTTGAAAAATTTTCAACGTACAACTCACTAATCATATAAGCCTGTTCAGAATTAAATTCTCTCTTCGGAAATGTCAAGATAAAAAAAATTTGAAACTAAGTTTCTATTTAAAATCTTGAAATGTCTTCTTAATTACTGGAAAAACACCGGAACAAAATAATTTCAGCAATTTTTTAAACTCGGATACTACGTCTGAAACCGATCGGATCGATAGAAGCCAAAATTCTCTATCGTTTCATCTAAAAGAAGTTGCTCCTGAGATCAATGTCATGAGCGGAAATATTTTTTTAAAGAAAGAAAACAAGCTCGCCGCCGTAGGAATATTGAGTATGTGTTGATATTTTAAATATTACTCCAAAGGAAATTTTTTATTTTTTTTTTGACAATTCAACTTGCAGGACGGAAAATTCTCTATCGAATGAGTTTAGAATGGAGTCTCCAAATTATAGAAAACTTTCCGAAAAAAAGGAAATGTTTCTGGCCCGTTCTTTATGACCCACCCGTTATATTAAAATTTTGTAAAGAAAAGAAAATGTTTTTTGTATACGTCAATTACAATTAATATGCAATTAAAGGGCGAAACTATAGCATACTAATAAGCATTGGATATAATTTTGATCTGTATCTATCGTGTTAATTTATTCTCATTTTCTTATGGATGTTTTCTCTATTAGACTCTGTCTGTCATCCTCCCAAAATGTTTTGCTTAAAAGTTATGTAAATGTCCGGAAAAATTCTGCTCTGCTAGAAAGTGGACTCTGGTAACGCATAACAGTGGCCTTGACATCGATTTTAAAAAATTCTC